AAGTATATGGGCAATATGAATATTGATTCTTATTTATTTTTAACAGCTTTGAGTGTTTTTTCTAGCCTTGTATCGTCAAAATTTATATATTCCTACCTCTTAACACAGTCCCAGATCCTACTAATTTTGAGAAATAGTCTTGTTGGTTATATTTAAATAGTTTTTAGAGAAATATGTGGTAGCATTAAGTTCTCTCAGAATTTACCAACTAGGAAGCTTTTCAAGTGCCTGAAGTAAATGATTTTAAATTTTGATTTCAGATAAAAAGTGACATAATGTTTATAAAATAGTAGCATATACAAAGGTCGGTTTCCTAAAATGATTCAATTGTTTAAAAGATTAAAAGAAGGAAACCAAACACCATAAAAGACTAAACCCTTCCCAGGCATAGCTCAGATCAACAGTGAAAAGGACAAAACGCCTCTGGTAGAGATAATGAACAGCTGGGAAGAAGCTGACAGATATGATGACTTTTTCCCCCCCACAGTTTGCTTATTACAAAGCAAATAAAGACTACAATTTGGTTTAAGGAATTTTGAAAGGTGACATAGAAACAACTCACCATTAGTTCACTCATGTTTGTCAGAAATAAATTTGTGTTCTCTAGATCAAACATAATAATAAATGAGAAAGATGAATGAACCAGAAGTAATTAGAGATCACTTACTTGATAGCACTACCTGCTATTTTAAATTCTTTTATGCTTCCGACTTCCATATACAACAAATTCCCCTTTATAACAAAAGGGAAAAACCAGACAAATAATTTTACTTCCTGCCAGAGTGACCTGAGCAATGACTATTAAGTCTCATTGCTTTTCTTAATGTCCATTTGGTTCTATCATAAATTGAGACCATGACATTATGAGAGTATTTATAGAGTTAATACTATCCAGCACACATCTGGGTCCACCTTTCTTTAGGATCCCTGCCAATACATAGAAGAGACCTAATTTGGAATTTGAGACTATATCCAGAGACTTCTTCGAAAAAGCTATACTCTTCCTAAATTCATACATTTTTTATTAGCAGATGTAAATATGAAGGGGAAATACCATATACTATAAGCCATTTGGGAATATCTGGCCTCTAAAGGATGACTCACAATTTTCATGTGAATGGCAGAGATGTTGAGCTACAACTCTAAGCTCATCTGTGCTATAGTCTGAATCATTCCCTCTGTGAACTCTGCAGGCGTTTTATGAGAAACGTACACATGTGTATGAGGCATGTGACCTTGTTGGCAGTTATCTTCTGTGTCAAGGGCTATTGGCAGATGCCCAAGAATTGATTGACACATATCTTACAGAACTGGAGTTAATTAATATGTCTACCAATTCCCTAGTGTACCACAGGAAACAGAAAATCTGTTTAATACAGCAATCAATGACATACTGTGTGTGGTCAAAAGTCATTCACTAGACAGAAAACCTAGATTTTTGGAAGACGCCATTCAAGAGTGTATATATAGCTACCAAAATGTTAGAAGAAAGGTCTATTTTAATAACTACAAGGCTAAATTTGATGGTATTTTAGAAATTGTTTTGTCACTAGAAATAGCAAGTGATAATTTTCTCCTGTAAGATTCAAAGCTATTGAATGATGAATGGGGCCTAGCATTTTTTTCAAAAGTGGTGTTTTAGCTTCTGTGGCATTCTGCCATAAAGATGTTCAGTCCATATGCAGTTTTCTAATGGTGAAGTTTCTATAAGCTTAGAAACTAAGAATAAGACAATAGTTACTTTAAGGGAGTTGTGTTGCAAAGCAGAAGTTGAATAAGGCAATGTTGCTAAGAGTCTTCCCAAATGCTAAAAGCAAAAACCCTTCTTTTCTTAAATGTAATTGGTTGTAATCTAAAAACACTGTATAAAATTATTATAATAAAATTAATTTTTGTTGTTTCTTTTGCATACAGAACAAGTATGAGGAAATATGCATCTACTTCCCAGCCTAAAATTTAAAAGGGAAATCTTCTTGTAACTGCTGAAAAGAAGGATACGAACATGAAAGAGAACAGTGGGGTGGGATGTGGGTTTGAGACAGGAAGGATAAAGGACAGAAGCTGTAATTATAATACTGTACAGCATAAAAGTTATTTTTCAAGGACTTTTGAAGATGGTGCTTTCAACCTCCACGAGTGTGTGAATCTCAATCCAACATTCCCAGCCTCTCTCCTGGAGGTTCTCCCCCAACAGCTTCCAGGCTTTCTGTTAGTGTCATTCTTTTCTAACAGTATAAAGTGCACATTGTCTGTTATTCTCAGCTTCATAAACAGCAAAATTGGTTAAAGCCAAGGATAGCATTTTAAGTAATAGTATAGATCAATTTAAAGCAGATTGTCTCAAAAGGCAGCTTAAGCATTGAAAATTAAATTTGATGTAGTCTAGACAAGCCCTCGTGATAATATCTTTTCCAGAATTTCCTAGATTGCCTGTCTAGACTGCTCCAAATTCCCCAGGTAATTGCATAATCATCTTCTTTCTGACCTCCTACTCTGGAATGGTATTTCATAATTTATAGTTTTCATGCAAATCAAAATCACTGAGCTTTTAAAGGTAGACCTGTCTCAAAGCTCTAAGTTTCTTAGGAAAAACAAAAACAAAAACAAAACAAAACAAAAAAAACCCCAAAAATCAAAAAAGAAAACTTGCACCTCAACATGTCCTCTCAAAGATGCTCACATATGAAGCTAGGCTTATTTATTATTTCAGTGGAGGGGAGCCTGAGCAAATGGTCTGTAGCCCTTCACCCCCTTAACAGCCCACCCAAAGGGAGGCAATGCATGGTTGACTTGAAATCTAATACATTATTAACAAAATGAAGCAGCAGTTATAGAAGGGTAGGGTACATTACCACAGGAAAAATGACAGAGATTCATGGATGATGCATAGAATTTTTGCCTAAATAGATACCAAAGAAGTGAAAGTCTCAGATTTTGAAGATAAGGGATTTAAGATAAATATAGAAACATCTAGTAAGGATAGCCTAGTGGCATTATTTATAATTGCAGATGAGGTAAGTAAAAGGTAAGATGAAAATTACAAATGAGACCATCAACAAAAGCTTATGAGACAGATTTACATTTTTTAGTATTATTTGGTATTTTTCTCATCAATGACCACCTATAAGATATCATATGTCTTCATCTCAATCATCTACATTAGATGCAGTAAAACAAGCAACTGGTTCTACATGGAGCAACTAATGCTGAGGAAAGCAGGGTGAAAACCTTCAAACCGGAGGCCAGAAGATAGACATGCTTCAAGAGTGAGAAGAAAAGTTTCGAGTTTGTGTAGCACTGAGTGCTAGGAGGCTGGAGGGCAATTTGAGGTAATGAGTCAAACTAATATGTGGATACCTAGGCAACGAGAGTTTTCTTTTGTTTTAGGTATTATGAGCAGAGATTCTGCGATGTTAACTAACATTTCCAGGGCGTAACAGCTAGTAAATAGTAGCATGATCTACAGCCTATTGTGATGTCAGAATCTCTGCTTTTCTTTTCCTCTGCATGAATAGAGTCCTGATTGTACTACCGTATTCCGGTGTGCTGCTCATCAGGAACATTAAGACTTCAGGTAGAAAATGTGTAACACAGCTTTTAGGCTCCTGTATTCATGACAGAAGTTTAACATCTGGGTTGGTAGCATGGGGGCAGTTATTTCATCAGAAGTGACTAAACGCACAATGTGTATTTCCTAAAGGTCCAGGTATGGGAACTGAAGCCTAATTTCCACCATGTGGAACAGGGAACTTAAAGAGGACTCCCTTTCCTAAAAGACATCTCATCATAAAACATCTTCTCCATATGAGCAAACATTTCATACATACTATGAAAGAAGAACACAAAGGTAAATGGGACACAGGCATAAAATTTACATGTATGAATGTGTTCTCGAGAAAATATAAACTTTCCAGTCTCACTAGGGAAGTAACAGCAGAAACTATAAGACCTAACTGGTTTTAACATTGGAAACACATAGCCTGTGATGTGTTTATTATCTTATATAAAGAAGGTAATGCATGAAATGCTTTGCTTTCTTGTCTCTGGAATGAAAACAACACATTCCTATCCCATAGGACATCTTAAGGAAATGTAGCAGGAGCTCAGAGGTAAGATAAATATGGCTGCATGAGAATTTAGTCATTATCTTTAGAATTCCAGAAATGTTCTGTGAACAAATTCTTTATTTGCTGAGCATTTCCAAATTCCAATTAGTAAGAAAATTTTGTCACAGATCACTTTCTCACCACACGAACACTTTTGTTCTGAAGATTCACTGCCAAAAATGACAATAGTGTTTATAATTGAGACAACTGAGAAGCCCAACTCAACACATGCCTTTCTAGTAAGGCCACCTTATTTTAATTCTGATTTAAATTTACTTAGCCATAATTTCTCCCACTAAAGTTTCTGTCTGCAACAACTTTAGTAGGACAAAATTTATTTATTTTTCTTATCGATGCCAACATAATAACCAAAACTATAAAAGCAATACCCAACAAAGCAAGAACCCAAATGTGAGATTCCATCCTTCAACCCACATATAGAAAACATCCTTCTTAATCCTGAGGCAAAAAAGAAAGAAAGAAAGAAACCAAAACAGCAGCAACAACAAACAAAACAAAAATTGACAAAACAAAACAGTGGGAGGCAAAGATGTTTGGCTGAGGAAGATATGGAGGGAAACACTAGCAAGAAACAAAGGAAGGAGGAAGGAGTATATATTCAGCTCGCCTACATGTGTCTCACATGCAAGAAGAATGACTCTGGAATGCAGGGTGAGAACAAAGGATTGCTTCCTTTCTCCTGTCAGATGGTTATTGCTGAGTGATATTCTCTTTGTTTTATGTTCACAGGCTAAAATGAATAGTTGTATCTGAATCTGAAGTAGATCCCTGTGAAGAGTGAGCAAGAAGGTAAACAAGCTGAAGAAAATAGCAATGAAGCATTTGAAAAGGAATGAGGCAGGGACAAAATGTGTTTTCCTAAGTCAGCTTTACCTCAGGATGATGTCCAACTTCAATATAGGTGCAAATTGGATGGAAAGCCCCAGTTCCACAGGCATATAAGTGAGTCTGATTGTAAGCCTTCAGGACCTTGATGAAATTAGCACATTCTTTCTGTAAAATAAAAGACAAGCAGTTAGTTTTATGGGTCACTTTGACTGGTGCATCTACAGTGCTCGGTAAGTGGAGGCAGATTTTGTATGCATCTCTTTACCAGATTTTTAGGGCTCATTTTTTATTTTGTTATTTTGTTCACAGCATTATATGCATAAGAATAGCATAGTCTTAAACAAATATAATATACTGTATTGCCTAGTTTTATATCAACTTGATACAAGTCATAAGTTAACTGAGAAGAGGGAGTCTCAATTGAGAAAGTACTTCCATAAGATTGGTGTTTTAGCTAGCTCATAGGGCATTTTAACTAGTGATTGGTGGAGTGTCCAGCCCATTGTGGGTGGTACCATCCCTGAGCTAATGGCCCTAGGTTCTATAAGAAAGCAGGCTGAGCAAGCCATGTAGAGCAACCGAGGAAGCAGCATCCTCCATGGCCTCTGCATCAGCTCCTGCCTCCAGATCCCTGTCCTGTGTAAATTCCTGTCCTGACATTTTCAGTGATGAACAATGATGTGAAGTGTAAGCCAAACAAACCTGTTCTTATCCAAGTTGCTTTGTGTATGGTGTTTCATCAAATCAATGATAACCCTAATTAAGACATATACCCTTCTTTAACTCTCTCTAAAACCATTTCTAAAACAATCCTACATAATGGAATAAAAAGTTCTGTGTTGGACAGTATCATGGATGACTTTTCACACAGAGAGAACAACAATAAACTCTCTAGATAACAAATTATTCAAATGAGGCAATGATGAGGTTCTCCATGCAAAAACGAACTTTTGAGTTTAAATTTAGAAAGGGGGGGGGAATAAAAGATAATGCAAAGCTAACCACCATTGGTGACTTAATCTGACTTCTTTCTAATGAGTTTACACTCATATGCTACATAATAAATATACTTTGAAAGAGATTTTCTAGGTTGTTCATAGTTTCGTAGCCATTTTTCAGTTGAATATTTGAAAGCAAGCCCTACAGCTGGAATGAGAAATGGAGATAAACTCCCCCAAGCAGACTACTGTATAAATGAGGCTGATTCACAAAATGGAGAAACAGGTTGGTTCTTATGTTCCTAAGTGTGTTCTGCCCTCAAAGCTTTCATGTGACCCGTGACTTCTCAGGTGTGAACTCAGAATACATCTGGACTTATGCAGTCAGTTAGACTTTATAACTGGTGTGTTATAACAATCTAAGTATATTTCCACATGGCTTTTGCATCTAGTACCTGCAGCTGATGACTTGGGTCTTAACTCCATTGGCCCATAAAATAAGGATCAGGCAACTTCACCAAAATAACTGACATCTAAATTCATGAAAGTGCCTGCTGTTGATTCTATCTGGAGATTCTAGGACGAAGCCTGATGCTGTCCTTTGAGTAATACTTCTCTAAAGATGAGATAGACTTATCTAAAACAAAATACAAGTTTCAGATGGTAGTTCTAATGCTTTCATAACAATAGTGTGTAATTTGGGGAGGTAAGAACTACAATAAAAACACAATTTCTTTGTTTCCTTAAATTGACCCAGAATGAATCTCTTTTTCCTGACAAGGCATAAAATTATGCTCGGAAATCAACTGACTTTGCAAATTGCTCTGCCACAGGGGAAAATTTCCTAACTTAAAGGGTATGTGTATTCCCTTCCTCGCTCACTTTGAACAGGTTCATTCCTGCTCAAAAGCACATTGCTCTGAAACAGATAAAACTTAGCCTTTACTATTTCAGAAGCACAGACCTCATTCTGTAACAGGTCCTCCTCATTCCAGTACAGGACATAACACAAATGCTTATGCAGAGGAAGAAGTTTGTGGAAAGGAAATGCCCGATAAATTCATTTACAGATGAAACATTCATGGGTCAGCCCACAGGATATATTTTTACTCCTCAAAAAAAAAAAAAAAAAAAAGACTTTCAAAGAAGCCATTTTTAGAATTTTTTTTTTTTTTTTTTTTTTTTTGCTTTGAACATGTAGGTGGCCATTTATTCTGCTTTTACGGAGACAGTCATCCCTCATTGTGGGCCCAATATTACCATGTTCAAGATGATAAATAATGAGTTCCAGTACCATATGTCAAAATCAAGATATTGGCTGTGCTAGCTTGGGTAAGCAAATGGATATTCCAGTAAGTAATAGTGGCAGACCCAGATGGATGCCTTGTTTATTTCAGAAAAGAACAGGACTTCCTTTGGTCTATAGACATGCTTGTAAAGACTCACATGCCATTTTGCATAAAAAACATACTTCTCCATTTCCATTATTCACATCTAATACCTACTAACAATTTAAAATAGACTACAGTTCTCTGTGGTATTAAAAAAAAAACATAACTATGAGGACAAATACTTGTAAACACAAAGGAAGGGTCATGTTACCCTTTCCACTGTTATGAATTTTAATACCATAGATTTTGTGAGCTTGTTATTTCTTCTAGATTAGATAACCAGTTAGTAATTTACGAGTGACTAAGTCTGTCTTTTCAAAGAAACCAGAGGTTATAATTAACACAAGGAAAACTCCCCAAGCACTTGAAAGCCACAAAATTGGACCACATTGAATATGAAATTCTCAATTTGTTCTCTATTAACTGTTAAATAGGGAACCACTACACTGTGACAGCCATTCTTCTACAAAGCTGCTGGAACAAAATCAATCATGAGACTGTGGCTGAGAAACCTGGCAAAGGGTCTGAGTGAGTGTGCTGATAACAAGTGCTCCTATCTGAGTTTTAGAAAATGGAGCCCCACCCTGTTGGCCCAAGGCCTAGAATGATCTCCTTAATTTCCCCACTGAACTCTCCCAGTTGGCAGCAAATTCCACTGTTTGCCATGCCCTGGGGCCACCTTAGAATTATTTTCAAAGTAAAGGTTGATGTGAATAGAGTCGGGAGCAATTTCTTGGGCTTAGAGGGTTGTAGCAACACAAAGGAATGGAAGGAAATAATTTCAAAATTGGTTTTAAAACAGCCAAAGGAAGAATCCTCAGCAAAGGAAGAGCAAATCATACAGAAAGACCAGAACACGGAGGAACCAAAAACTGGAAAGACGTGCCAGAAAGGATCGGTTCCTATGAGGACGTCTACAGAAAAGCCTATCAATACTGTCATTCATTTGCCTTCCTTTTCTAGTTTGTGGCTGCCAAGCATGGTAAGTGTTCCAAACAGGATATTCATTTTAGTCTGAGGTTGCCTGGACATTCCTCTAAACTAGAAGGAAGCGTGGCAGCAAAAGGAAACACACTTCACACGTTGCTGCTCTGGGGAGACAGAAGAGGAGTGTTTCTGACCTTTCCTTGAACCATGACGTTTCTCAAAACTCAGAATGTAATGTACTTTTTGGCATTAAACTACTGCACTGCCTTGCTCCACACTGGCGGATTTACAGTGCAATAAAGACAGTGCGGTCAGCTCAAAATGAATTCATTTTTCAAGCCTTGATCCTTTTGGAATTTAAGTTGAAATGCACAGATGAATTTGGTAACAAGTTGGTGTCCTGAAAGTCAGTCAATCATGGTGACCTTCAGATCAGCAGCACCACAAAATCATTATTTTAGAAGTAAGAGCAGTTATGATCCAATAATGCCCAAGCCCACACCTGAGGGACCATGATAAATCATCCTCTATGGCAAGCTGTTTGAATTCAAGTTTTAGGGGATTCTAGCCTTTTTGGATCACATGAATAGACGAATTATGGATAAAAATATTATCTCAAAGAATAAATGTAAAGAAAATATCTATCCTTGAAAAAAGACATAGGAGCTGAAAGCAGAATGAATCGAAAACAAACATCACAGAAACAGATAGAGAGTACTGATTAAGCTGTGTTGCAGACTTTTCCTGGACCGTTACAAAAATAAAGCCCTCCATCTGTCAAAACAACTGCTCCATGCATGAAAATTAGAAAAGAATTGAGGTGTTTAACTAACTTCCGATCATTACACTCTCTGCAAGAGAATATAATTTACCTACAATTCCAATTACCTCCTTCCCTGATCTTTGATTATGTATGAAATAGTGAAAATTTAGCCTAAATAAAGAAGTCGCAAAAAAAAAAAAAAAAAAAAAAGAGAAAGAGAGAGGATGAGACTGTGAACATGAACAATCTCTATTCAAATATATTCAGTTCATGATTAAATCAAGCAAACTTGTTCTGGTTCAAATATAAATCAGCCCCAAATGAATGGGTATAGAGGAGTAATGCCTCAGGTCAATGACAATTCATTTTAAAGGAAAAAATCAATAGTCCCTGTGTCATCAGCCATTTATGTGGAATTATTTTACTGTATAACCCAGCAGCTGGGAAAGCAAAGGACTCTGTCTATCAGGCTGGGTGGATACACTCTGCAGGAAAATCCATTAATAAGCTTAATTCCTGAACTTAATCTGTTGACTCTCTTTTCTCTGCTCAATTTATTTGGCAAGCTGGCTGGATACTCTAAGCTTCATGCCAAAGCAGTAATCCTTGAGATTGTTCCTGTCACTCATCTATCCCTCCTTCTATTTAAGTTGTCCCACACTTATCTGGAAGCAATGTCCTGTCTTTTTTTCCCCCTTCTTGAAATGTGCTGTTACAGCTGTGATCTGATCATCCTCAATCATGTCTTCCTAATGCTTCCCATTCACTGAAGGATGATGGAAATCCCTTCTTCAAAGAGATGTATCTCATAAAATGATACACTATATACCTTATGTCCACATTTTCCTATTTCCCATCTAATGTTGAGTTTAGGACTTCTAAAGAATTCACTATGGAAAGGAGAGATACAGACTGCCTTTATAGCCCAGGAGGAAGAAGAGGCAGAAAGAGGCCCAGCCTTCAGAGGACTGTTTGGTGTCATTGTTACACGCCTCATTTCTTCCATCCAAGTTAGGCTTTCTATTGGTTAGAGCCATTCATGTCCAAAATACTAGAGGATATTACAGTTAAAATATAAAATGTTCCTACATTCTCTTAGTAAACATGGATTCTTTAATGAGCTTTGAGCCACAGCCCAGGCTGGAA